CCATTATCTTTATTCATTATAACTATTTGTTATTCGTATTCTTCGTGTTGCCACTGTTTTCTAAAAGACAATTTACTTTTAATGTAATATATATATAATATGTATTAAGTTGATAAAACATTGATAAAAAACTGTTAATTATAAAATTTAAAAACTTCCCTCTGTTTTCTTTTACGATGATTTTGTACTTTATCATTTTGTGTAGTAGTATAAGTCACTTTTTCTGCTGTACACTAAGCAACGCAAGATTTGTGAATTACGCCGACCTCGAATTAGCGGCAGCATTTGTCTCATCGTCAATTGGTTCTGTATCGAGTGAGATTTTAAGTTTAAGTACTTTCACAATAAGAAAAATTACGTGTTCTAAACGGATTCGATAGTTTGATAGTTACTTTATTAGCAATGCAAAAATTGTACATTTAGTAATTTGCAATTTAAAATTAATGTTCGGTGAAAAATTGTTTTAATCAAAGAATTAAATCTTGAAATTTTACTATTTATGTAAATATACTAGTTGTGATAAATTCCCGAATTACCCCAGAGAATCTACAAAGATGTATAAATAAAACATATACGTACCTGAGTGATATTGTGAAAAATTTTAATGCTGTGCCGTTGGCATCTGCTACTAAAAGAAAAGATCGAAATCAATTGGATATTGTATATGTTTTTAATATCATGTCGTAAAAGTTGAAGGTTGTAAACTGTCTGTTTCTTGTTGGAATATTAATAAAAAAGAAAACTGAACTAACACAGAATTATTTGTATGGTCAAAAATTGTTTTAATGGAAATGTATAATTCTCTATTGAATATTGTGATGAAGATCACTTCGGAATACTTATGTACTGTTCCTTACGAAAAGGAATCGCTATACCCAAGAATACTATTTGTAAATTTGATTGTATATCAATAAACAGTTTGCAAACTTACAGTCTCACAACAATGAAAAATAAGTTTGTGTTTACACGTTATAACTTATACGTTTTAATTTTGAAAATAAAGTTTTGCCATGTTTCAAATAATTTATTACGAAAATTGTTTATTCAAAACACATGTCACGAATGTATCGTAAGTGTCTCATTGTCTTGCTTTAGTCAAGAGACAAAGTATGTAATTTAGAACTATTTTTGTAATATTTAGAAATTTTCAAGTTTGTAGAAGCTACATTTCTACATTTCTACAACAATAATAATCGGTGATTGCTAGTGTTGCAACGAATAGTATATTCGGCCAGGAGCATGGCCGAATAGCCGAATATTCGGCCAAACTATTCAGCTTGATTAACGCACGTACGAAAATTGGTACAAAAAAAACGTACATTTTTACAATTAATGATTTTAACGCAAACATGTAAGACGTTTTTCAAACAATTATGAAAATTGTCTATATAATATTTTTGCTGAATAAAAATGTTTCAGTACTTTTTAAACTATATTTATACACGGTGTAATCTTCGTGGTCAGCATACAGAGATGGTCACCTTATTGAAATGCAGTTTACTATGCAAAATTATAATACAACCAAAACCGTTTTAGTAAGAAAAAAAATATGTACTGTACAGTACGTTATTATATGTGTATTCGAAATGTTAGTGATGAGGATAAAAAACATTTAGATAAACTTTATATCATGACTAAACTCCTTACTAAACCCATGAGTAAACACTTAAAATATGAATACTGTACATGAATAATTGAATATAGTATATATCAGTATATATCTGTGGGGATTGGATCGTGTAAAGACACGATTCCCGTGTTTGTTTTGAACTATTGACATTAACGGCCGCCGACAGACAATTGAACGGCCTTTTAAATGCTCGGTCGCTGGTCGGTTAGTAGATAATCACGCCACACGACATGATTTGCATAAAACTATGACTTAGTAATAGCTGATTTGCATAGCGTTACAACTGGTAATCGCTGATTGGTCGGCCGGGAATCACACCACACGTTATTTGCATAGTGCTACAGCTAAGTAAGCACTGATTGGTCGACCAACACGCTTTCGACGGGTATAAAAGGATTGATGTCGAAGGTGGAGTTTTAAGTTCCCAGCAGCGTTGCCAGATTTGGCTACTTTGCTCCAAATTGGGCTACTTATTTTTCAGTTTGGCGCTAAAAAAAGCATTTGGAGCACTGGCTACTTTTTGGGCTACAAAAATTTCACTTGGCTACATTTTGGGCTGTTTACACAAATTATTTCATCCTTTGTTTTGCGCACAGAACGGTAATACTTGTTGTGCTGTCTACTCGTTTTGTTTTTAAACAAAGTATAATTTATATAAGTTTTATAATTTATTTATTATTGGTATTAAAATGGGAAAATGGACCAANTAGATTATAGTAATAATATCTGTTTTATATATTTAAGGTACTTTGTGAATACATCAGCACTTTCATGATACATTACTGTATTCATTTTTTTTTAAATATACTAAAAAGTATTTGATTTCTCTTATTCGTAATTCATAGTACAAAATGTCCAAGAAGTTCCTTAAATCTTCATTAAGTTCAACTCCACTCGAAATATAACACATGACAACCCCTCTATCTGCTTACCTACATGATCTTTAACTATCTAAATTTAAAAGCATCAATTTTTCATATATACAAGTTGCCATTGTATGTTGCGGTCTTTAACCATTAGTCATCCTTAAATTAATGAAATAAGAATGATATTACTTTTTAAGCCTTTGTGTCCTTATTATACAATTTTCTAGGACAGATCGTATTATTAGAACTTATTATACCGGTGTCCAAGTCCTGCAAAATAAGGAAACATATCCAGAAAAAAAGAAAAATCTTTAAAACAGGAAATAATAAAGTTTTTTCTTTCTTTTTCTGGGTACGTTTCCTCATTTTGCATGACTTCCCCATCGGTAAAATATGTCCTAATAATACGATCTCTTTTTAGAACCATTTTAATAATAAAAATAGAATAAGAAAGAATTCCAGTCAGAAAAAATGTAATGTGATTGCTCCTAAGCAATTGTCCAAACTTGCTGGTAATAATTGTGTTTGACTCCACTCAAATTTAGAATGATGTTACACTAGCTGAATTTTAATTTATGGTAAATAAATATCATCGAACACGTTTAGTTTTTCATTTATACAAATATGAAAAACTTTCATGAGAATCTTGCTTGTAGCATTTACATTTAAGAAACTAAAAACTTTTAAAAAAAATGTCTACATCTGTATAAAAAACAGAAATTCGGAACATTACACTAAATATCATTAACACTTGACTGTTATAAAATACGTCGTAACATGACAGTGCTGCAATTTTTTTTATTTCTTACAATATTTAAATATAAAGCTTTGTCTAATTTTCGAAAATATTTTAATTCGCACTGCTGTTCGAAATATGTGGCTTCAATTGTCGGGAAAAAATTCTGTTGCAAAATTTGGCCGTTGCCATTTTTTAAGTTCCGTATTTCGTATATTTTCGAACGAACTTCGAAGATTAATCTTGTTTATTCGAACACTGCAAAAGAGAAATGGTATGTGCTTCGCAATTTTGAAATAAAAGTGCTGCACCCTACTGCACAAATTATCTTAAATGTGCAAGAACATTTTTCGCAATTGAGAGCGATTAGCCGACTATTATCATTTCATTGCCTCCACAGTTTTCAGATTGGAATTACTGTTACTTTGTTTTTGGAAGCATCTGAAACGCTTGTATTGACATTTTTAAGAAATAATCAATCTACTTTTCTATTTACTTAATGCAGTTAAAAATGAATCGAGTAATGCATAGAAATATCAACGGATTTTGTTAGATAAGAAGCCAACAAGAACTAAAATACTTTACTTAAAGACTGTCTGTCCAAAAAAATAAATTCTTTAGTAGATATAAAAGCACCTAAGACGTCTGTAAGATCCACCAATCGCAATTTTAGTGTTATAATTTTTGATTGGTTAATCTCTGTGTTTTTTTAAGGGATGTTTTAAGCCTGACGGACAAGTAGCCTCTAAAGAAAGGTTCGGTCGTCAAAGACGTATTCTAGAACACGTCAAAAGAATAAATGGTGGTTACCAACAAAAATTTTTTTTGGACAGACTATGTCTTTAATTAACTTACAAAAAATTTTCTTTTAACAAAATTTTCCAAACTAAAATACTGTTTATTAAGGCAGTGTACTTAACCTGGTTATCATACAGAAGAATTTCACAAGTACAAAAACTGCATGTGTATTAGTTGACTTTCCCACTTGAAAGTGCTCTCAAATTGGGTGCAATATAATTATTGCACTTTATTTCGAAACTTCCGAAATTCGTTGTAAGATATATATATATATATAATATGCAAATTAAGTACACAACAGCACGAAGTCTTACCATGCAGATGAGTTTTAACTTATAATGCTTTTAAGAAAAAAATCCGCATATTAATAACAATATTAACAAGACGTTTGATTATAATTTGTCAAGTAATTGTGTTTACAAAGACTTTTGAACATTTAATTAAGATGCAATTTGAAAAAAATTCTGGACCTATAAATTCCCATTGTCATGCGTTTGCCTGACTGTCCTTCCTTAATTTCAAGAAGCATATCAGATAGACAAAATTGGAGAGCAAGAGTGGAAAATAATGCACAGGAAGCCCTGGTTAACTTTAATTTACAATTTGCATCGTAAGTAGTTATAATGTTATTTAGATTCAATTATTTTCAAAAATTCAAAAAAAGTTAGATGATTGACATGACTCGTATTCTATCTAACCTGAAAGTATGATATGCAGGGACTTGCAAATAGATAAATAATAATGTACTAGGGCAAATCTCTACTAATTTAAGATAGAGAGCATATAATTTAAATTAAATAAATTTTAAAAATATGATAAAAAAATTGCATGTACTTTATAATAATTACATTTTGTTTCATTATGAAATATAAATGAATCACGGAACTATATATTTTGCTTTCTGTCTTAGGTAAATCGTTTCACGTTGTGGATGTGTGCAATTGTATTGATGTTACTCTCAATACACGGCATGAACGCGTTCATAACTGATCCTTCGCCAAATAATAACATCATTCTTTTATTCACAATATTTTCTCCGTATGCTTGGATAATTGGACAAACGTGGATGTGCATTGATTTTACCAAAGGTAACGGAGGTAAGTACAATTTTAAACTTAAAGGGTCTCTACTTCGTATGAACCGTTTTTGTAGTTGAAGCTGATGTAGGTTTTGGTTCGAAACTGGGTTTAAGAATATATTTAAAGTAAAATTATTTTTACAAGTTAATGTTGACAATATGGTCTGTTGGTACTTCGTTATAGACATGATACTCCTGGGTTGCTTCTCAGCACCCAATATGCTTGCTTTTCTTCCAACTTTTGGTATGCTGTATATATGGTTATAAATTTGAAAATCACTTTAATCTTAATATGTTGATTTTTCACACAGTTTGTCCAAGTTAAGTGAAACAGGACTTTATTGCATTTAACTTTTAAACAAATCTTTACATCTAATGCATTTCGGGCTAATTTAACTTTATATTCCATCTTCAGTGCTATTAAAAACAACAGAAAAAATAATAAATCATGACATTATTGTGATAAGCAATAACACTTTACATAACATAATTCGCATATTTACTTACATGCGTGAGAAAGTATAAATAGCTTGAAACAAACAAATTAAAAAACACACTTTTCAAAAAATTTTTGATTTTTTAACTTTAGTGTGTTAGGAGTAGATTTGCCTTTTAAAACAGTTAAAAGTTAAAGTTAAAAGAAATCAAAAATTTGTTGAAAGTGTGTTTTAAAGTTGTCAATTATTTCTACGTTTTCATGCACGTAAGTAAATACGCAAATTGTGTTATGAAAAATATTAGTTCTTATCACAATCATGTCATCACTTATAACACTGAAGTTTCTTCATAACACTGAAGTTGGGATATAAAATTATATTAGCCGAAAATGCATTTGATGTAAAGACTTCGTTTAAAGTTTAATACAATACAATCTTGTGTCAATTAATTTGAACTAGCTGTATAAATAAATCAATTTATTAGATTTGAAATTCACTTTAATCCTAGAAACATTCAAAATGTATATGGCTAATTCTCGATAACTTGTGCAATCGTTTTTCATGGTGTGTCCTGTAGCAGATATGTGCAGATAATCTTTTGATTTATTTCTTCCGATGAAGTCATTTTCCAACAAAAAGTATTTAATTCAAAACAAATATATCTTATAGTAACCAAAGCAAAGAAATTAATATTAAATATAAGAAAATAAACAAAAACTTTCAAGTGTTTAAAAAATTTTTGACAGCAGTGTATGATAAATTTACCCTTTGTACATTAAAAATAATTATGTAATAATTTATTTCGTTACAGGTAAAATAAGAAAATTTTTGTCCATGGATTTTTTTGTGATTTTGGATCGTCTAAATGTTGCAATTTATATATTACATCCTTTAACTCTGATATACGTCATTGCTTGCACTACAAAACCTTTTGATTTGTCGATGCTAACTCTGGTAAGAAATTAAATTATAAAACGAGCAGTTATTTTATTATGAAATTGTCACTATGCCGGGCTGCAATTTTTAGTCATATAAATTAAATTAAATAAACTAAAACTATGTTGTTCGTCTCAAAGTAGTATTGTCTTGTTACTGTACACCAGTGTTTCTCAACGGGGGCGATATCGCCCCATGTGGGTGTTTTTCCATGTTGAGGGGGCGATTTGTAACAATTTATATTTTGGGGGCTAAAAACAATTTTCTGGGCGATATAGTAAAACATTATATTAAGAATAATTAGATATTTTATTCGTTATATCGTTCAATAATTAAACAAACAACATTATACTAGTCACTACGTAACGGTTTCATTGAAGGGGGCGATACTACGTTGAAGGGGGCGACGGTTCGTTAGAGGTTGAGAAACACTGCTGTACACCAAGGTTTTCTTGTTCAGAACAGAGCAATGTCAGTCATCTATGTAACTTTATTCAAAAAAAAATATTTCAGTTGAAATCGCGTGACTTTCGGTTTTCGTCGGATATTTGCATAAAGTTAATCGGGGACCTCTAGCCTTCAATATTTCCACATGTGCTCTCGCTATTTCATCTATCTAATAACTTGCTCGAGAGTAAATGGGCAGACATACGGACGACACTGTGTATTTATATATCTACAATTTTTTAAATTGCAGCCCATTTAACTTTTATTTACTTTACGTCGTTTATATTATATTTACAGTGAAAACATAATCTGTTTTTTTTTCTTTACAGTGTATGCTGCACGTATTCGTGATGTTCCTGTCGATAATTTTTTCCTTTCTTTTCTATTTATTTCTTGAAACTCCATTTAAGTCTATTGTTAACAATTTATTTTTCAAATTTGATTCAAATAAAACTAAAAGTATGAAAAACCAATACCAATTGCTAAACAATAAGAAGTTCAAAAATTTATAAATGTCAACAGGGTTGACATTTATAAATTTTATAAATGTCAATATTTCATTATTTGCATTCGTTCACAGGACAGGAAATAAAGATTAAGTATAAATTTCATTCAATACATTATTGTTATCTTGTAATATAATCGAGATGGGTTGATAATAAATATAATACTGTAATAAATGCATAGTCCAAACGGTTAGGAATAGAAAGTTGTAATTTGGTACACAGTTCGAATACACTACAACAATGTATACTAACGTGAGATTGTTCAAAATTTTTTACCGCGAGGGATTGGGAGGAGATAAAAGCTTAATGTGAAGAACTCGGCCTCTATTATACTACTTTAGATGCTGATTTTTGCGTTTTTGCGGAAATCTATATATAATCCAGATGAATTAATAATAATAATCTATATACATATCTAAATATATAATTGAGATGAGTTGATAATAATATTACTGGCAATAATAAGCACAAAGTCCAAACAGTTAGGAGTTGAAACTTTAAATTGGTATAAGGTTTGGGTAGGCCATTCGAATGCACAATAAAAAGGATTTTTTTTTTAAATTCTCCTCCGCGGGATAAATGAAAGGGTTAAGGATTACTTTGAAGAACTTCGCTTCGACTGTATTATTTTAAATGCGTTTTTTTTTGCATTTTTTCGAGAAACCGAAAATATTTTTAGACCCATCTAACAATTTTCTAATTAATCTCGGAACAGGGGCGACCTAATTCTTGCACCAGGTTAAAACGGGTAAGATAAGTTTTAGTCTAATAATTTTTATCTTTGTTATCATTACCCTTACTATACATACTATGTAGTAATATTACTGTACATATTACCATACTAACATTACTAACATACTAGTTGTCATACATTTGGGGAGTTTTAAAACTTTCTTATATTTTTCTATCACTATTTCCCTGCATATTCGAGGAAAAGACCATCGCCTCTATCTAAACAGCCGAAAAAAATTCTCTCTAATGCTAGGATAAATTCACTTCGTTTCTCTTTTCTTGACGTCATTTCCTTCTTAAATTTGTGTAAACCATTATCTTTATTCATTATAACTATTTGTTATTCGTATTCTTCGTGTTGCCACTGTTTTCTAAAAGACAATTTACTTTTAATGTAATATATATATAATATGTATTAAGTTGATAAAACATTGATAAAAAACTGTTAATTATAAAATTTAAAAACTTCCCTCTGTTTTCTTTTACGATGATTTTGTACTTTATCATTTTGTGTAGTAGTATAAGTCACTTTTTCTGCTGTACACTAAGCAACGCAAGATTTGTGAATTACGCCGACCTCGAATTAGCGGCAGCATTTGTCTCATCGTCAATTGGTTCTGTATCGAGTGAGATTTTAAGTTTAAGTACTTTCACAATAAGAAAAATTACGTGTTCTAAACGGATTCGATAGTTTGATAGTTACTTTATTAGCAATGCAAAAATTGTACATTTAGTAATTTGCAATTTAAAATTAATGTTCGGTGAAAAATTGTTTTAATCAAAGAATTAAATCTTGAAATTTTACTATTTATGTAAATATACTAGTTGTGATAAATTCCCGAATTACCCCAGAGAATCTACAAAGATGTATAAATAAAACATATACGTACCTGAGTGATATTGTGAAAAATTTTAATGCTGTGCCGTTGGCATCTGCTACTAAAAGAAAAGATCGAAATCAATTGGATATTGTATATGTTTTTAATATCATGTCGTAAAAGTTGAAGGTTGTAAACTGTCTGTTTCTTGTTGGAATATTAATAAAAAAGAAAACTGAACTAACACAGAATTATTTGTATGGTCAAAAATTGTTTTAATGGAAATGTATAATTCTCTATTGAATATTGTGATGAAGATCACTTCGGAATACTTATGTACTGTTCCTTACGAAAAGGAATCGCTATACCCAAGAATACTATTTGTAAATTTGATTGTATATCAATAAACATTTTGCAAACTTACAGTCTTACTACAATGCAAAATAAGTTTGTGTTTATACGTTATAACTTATACGTTTTAATTTTGAAAATAAAGTTTTGCCATGTTTCAAATAATTTATTACGAAAATTGTTTATTCAAAACACATGTCACGAATGTATCGTAAGTGTCTCATTGTCTTGCTTTAGTCAAGAGACAAAGTATGTAATTTAGAACTATTTTTGTAATATTTAGAAATTTTCAAGTTTGTAGAAGCTACATTTCTACATTTCTACAACAATAATAATCGGTGATTGCTAGTGTTGCAACGAATAGTATATTCGGCCAGGAGCATGGCCGAATAGCCGAATATTCGGCCAAACTATTCAGCTTGATTAACGCACGTACGAAAATTGGTACAAAAAAAACGTACATTTTTACAATTAATGATTTTAACGCAAACATGTAAGACGTTTTTCAAACAATTATGAAAATTGTCTATATAATATTTTTGCTGAATAAAAATGTTTCAGTACTTTTTAAACTATATTTATACACGGTGTAATCTTCGTGGTCAGCATACAGAGATGGTCACCTTATTGAAATGCAGTTTACTATGCAAAATTATAATACAACCAAAACCGTTTTAGTAAGAAAAAAAATATGTACTGTACAGTACGTTATTATATGTGTATTCGAAATGTTAGTGATGAGGATAAAAAACATTTAGATAAACTTTATATCATGACTAAACTCCTTACTAAACCCATGAGTAAACACTTAAAATATGAATACTGTACATGAATAATTGAATATAGTATATATCAGTATATATCTGTGGCGATTGGATCGTGTAAAGACACGATTCCCGTGTTTGTTTTGAACTATTGACATTAACGGCCGCCGACAGACAATTGAACGGCCTTTTAAATGCTCGGTCGCTGGTCGGTTAGTAGATAATCACGCCACACGACATGATTTGCATAAAACTATGACTTAGTAATAGCTGATTTGCATAGCGTTACAACTGGTAATCGCTGATTGGTCGGCCGGGAATCACACCACACGTTATTTGCATAGTGCTACAGCTAAGTAAGCACTGATTGGTCGACCAACACGCTTTCGACGGGTATAAAAGGATTGATGTCGAAGGTGGAGTTTTAAGTTCCCAGCAGCGTTGCCAGATTTGGCTACTTTGCTTCAAATTGGGCTACTTATTTTTCAGTTTGGCGCTAAAAAAAGCATTTGGAGCACTGGCTACTTTTTGGGCTACAAAAATTTCACTTGGCTACATTTTGGGCTGTTTACACAAATTATTTCATCCTTTGTTTTGCGCACAGAACGGTAATACTTGTTGTGCTGTCTACTCGTTTTGTTTTTAAACAAAGTATAATTTATATAAGTTTTATAATTTATTTATTATTGGTATTAAAATGGAAAATGGACAAAGTATTCTCGGTCCTTTCGGAAAGAATGACTTCAAGATAAAAATCTTAAAGGTTTACCTTTAAAACCTTTAAGATTTTTTTCTTGAAGCCATTCTTTCCGAAACGACCGAGAATACTTTGGGGAAATTTTCCTCATTAAGTTGCATTTTCAAATATTTTGGCAAATGGCGTAATTTTAAATTCACTTAATTAAATTTAAACTTTTTAAAAAGATAGCTCCAGTAAGTATTCAGTCATGCTTGACAGGAAACTTTTTAGTTTATAATAGCTTATTTTTTAAAGAAAATTTAATATAAATTCCAGATAAATGATATTATAGAAAGAAAGAAATAAGAAAAGAAAATGCATCTATAAACAAAAATGACTAATGGTAAATGCTATGCTATACGGAATGGTACCAAACATGGTTACTAGGGCGTAATTTTTATAAATTTTAATTGTTTTTGATAAAATTAGTAACAAATAACGTTACGCTAATTGCAACTGTTTGCCAATGTCAGCTTCTTGTAAATGTCTTATATAGTGTTACATGTAACATACAAAATTCATATATTACAAGAATGCTATTATTCCTCAACAACAATCAAATGAGCAAAATGAACATGAAGTACTAAAATTTGAAATTATCACGTTGAAAAATCACTGGTAAGATCATCATCATCAGAATCTTTTTCACTAGAATGTTTTTGTATGGTTGAAGCAGATGATGATTTCCAAGTTTAACATTTATCGCTGTAAGAACTCGATTTTGTAGTTTAGTTTTCATTAAATTTAATTGCAAAAAAATACGTTCAACTGCTGCATTTGAATGAGGAAGCAATAAAAACATCTATTTACTGTCAAAGTAAAGTAAAAAAATACAGAAATATAGAATAAAAATGAATGTTTTGAAAGGAAAGGTATCAGGATTTCATGAATGGTACTAGGAAAATGGTGTGGGTATCTGGTACTGGGACAAGTAAAAAGGTACTAAATTAGTACAAAAGTACTAGGTAGAAAACCTGGTACAAAAGTAGCTCAAAAGTAGCCAACTGCTCGAGCAGTTGTCTACTTTTGGGCTACTTTTTAAAAATTATTTGGCTACAAGGGCAAAAAACATCTGGCAACGCTGGTTTCTAGGAAGTTTAGCTTTTAAGTGCAGTTGGGGAGTATTATGTTTCAAGTGTTAACTTCGTAAGTTCGATTCGGCACGTCTTGATATACTTGTACAACAGTTTCGTCCAAGTTTGGTTGGGAACTTCAAGTGTGCCTCAGTGGTCGAGGCAAGTCTGAATTAATCTCGCAGTGTGTTCTTTGAGAACCGAAAGGAGATTTCTTTTATGATGCAAGCGTAGAAATCATTAAAAGTAAAACTGTATAAATACAAATTTAAGCATAGAAATACGTGAAAATTGGCTTAGGATATTGTGAAAAGAATTGGAAAATAGGTAAAAATGTAGAAATCGAAATATTTTTTAATAGTTTTTCTAATTTTTTGTTTTTTTAATAATTTTTATAACTTATAAAAGTTTATAAAAACTTTTTTAAATAAATTTTTATAATCAATCATGAACTAACCTCTTTACGATGTAAAAATATGCTAATTAGTATGGAATTGCGTAGTAAAAGAGGTAGCTGACAGTATAAAGCTAACGTAGATATATCTGTTCGTGTTTTATTTAGTAAATATGAATTTTTTATATAACATTAAAAAACAGAATTTGATTCGAAACTTAATATCATATTGCATCTTAACCACGAATGTGTAAGCTGTATAAATATATATTCACCGATGATACCCAGTTTATAAATAATTTCGAGGTATGTTCTAAAATATCTTTTACCACTTTTATATATTTTTTAACCTTTCTACGTACTCCATGTATTTTTTTATATAATTTTAGTTGGCTGAAGAGAGGATGTTACGCCCGGAACGTGTATTTTAAACACGTATCAGCTGAACTAAATAAAGATGATAGATCGCCAAGCTATACAGTGTTTAAGAATCCAAGAAGAGATACTGTTTCAGATTATGAAAGATTACTTCTAGCTACAACCCGTTAAGGCGTCGCAAGGTGTTTTCTCGAGACCTGATTAGCGTGTTGGACTATTTGAAGTTTAATTATTTTGTGTAATTGACATACAGAATTGGGCGCCAATTGTGTGAACAAATTACATTGTAAATTTAATTGGCATTTATAAACTTTTTGAACTTGACTATATCTATAGGTTAAGTTTGTTTAAAAAAATCGAAAACTTATTAAACAATTCGAGTTGCGCTATAAAACAAATCTTTATTTCGTTTTTCCTTCTGCTTTTTAAAAAAAAAAAAAAAAAACTTAAGTCGGATATCTACAGGAAATGAATAGTCAAAATATTCGAAATTGTTACCAGTGTTAAACAAACACATTTCACATATTTTCTGAGATAATTATTGTTTGAGATATTCTTGGTTTATTTCTGCATTTCATGTAATAAAAGACTCGAATGAAGTAGCAAGATAGTATGTAAACAAGTCGCTCTCTCTGTAGTCAATGAAAAACACGAATTTTAAAATCTCATTTTTTTTTCTTTTTCACAGATAGGTTCACATATTCTATAGTTTTCTAGCTTGTAGAAACTTTCAAGTTGTAGACGTAGAATTAACAGTAAGAATTACAAAACAAGAAGAAAAAAGAAAGTACAAAAAAGAATAATTTAAATATTAAAATACAGTAGTCATAACATATACAAATCTTCATTCTAATAGCCCAAATAGATGAGCAGCAAAAAATGATAGTCATAAAAAGCATCTCACTTTTTCACCTTCCTTTCCATGGACATATCATTTGTTTCAATGATATTTACGTCTAGCAAATTTTTACATCGTTTTTCAGATTCAAAATTGTCATAAATTTCATTTGAAAATAATATATTCATCAGTTCTGCGATGAATATAAAGTTTTTACTCTCATTGTAAAATTGTTATCGGGAACATATTTTTTACTCTTCTAGTATTTTCTGTGTTTTATGTACATTAAATCTCATTTCTAAATCTTCCAGAATTTCCAACTAAACAACCGATTAGATTATTTATAAAAGTATATCCAAAATGTATGTTTGATATTTTTATATTAGCTATTACCAATTCGATTTTTCTCATTAAAAATTTTCGGTATGTTGGAACGTTTGATAATTTGGATCTATCAATATTTGCTGCACATCCAAGTCATAGGTTTTCTTAGTCAGTCACAAAAAATATCTCTCTTTCACAATGATAAATATGGTAAGTATCATATTATTCGCAGCTGTTTTTAAACCATAATGTTCGCCCGGTTTCATAAAATAAAAGATCAGAGAACATGTAAGAAACATTTGTCGCTATCTTAACACAAAAACTGTACCGTAGCGAGGGAATATAACTTTTTAAAATATAAAAATTATAAAAACTGCTTGATTTAACATTTTCTTAGAAACACACTTAGCATAGACAAAGAATACAAACACCAAAGAAACATAGTTCAGTTGTAATTGTAAGATTTAAAAATATATGGTTGGTGGTGAATGCTTTCACCACCAACCAACATTTTCTGTTAATGCCTACCTATCAGGGCTACTGATCATTCGTTCCCTACAAAATTAGTCACATTTAGTAACAAATAATAAAATAATCTATACAGTTTTTTATCTACAATAACACCTTGTAAATTCTTCTTTATATCTGTTTGTCCTTTTTACATTTCTGTGTATATTTTGTACTTGCACTTTAGCAGTATAAGTCCCATTAATAAATAAAGTTTCTTATTAGTAGAGGAAAGTTTAGTTAAATTCAAAACAAAAACACAAACGAAAATAACTGTAGTTTGACTTTTGACTAAGATTTTTTCTTTACTAATCACAAACTTCATCAGTATAACGAGAACTTATTTATTGTTTCATCGTCACAATGCCATGCTGCAATTTAAATCATAGTTTTTTTCAATTCATTTAATTTAAAATATATGCTCTTCATTTTAAATTAGTAGTATCTTGTTCCTGCATATCATACTTTTCCTGTTAGCAACAGTCTAATGCTGGTGATCTATTAAGTACGTTAAACTAATATTGCCGCATAGTAAAGGTAATAAAGTCAGAGAATTTTCAATACAACGTAGCATTTGTGTTACGTTTGAAAGGTGTAGATAGGATAAACACGAAATAAAATCTTAAATATAATAAACAGACTATTGGTAGCTGCTTACTGTAAGGAGTTGAGTATATACTTACGACAAAAGATAACGGCATTGGGTTAAATTATTAATAGCTTTTATCACTTTTAAATTATTTTAAATATGATTTGCAGTATAGTAATGTTGATAAAACAAAAAATCTTCCATACAATTAATGTTTAATTTTTACTGTTTATTCTGTGAATTTATGTTAACAATATTGAAATAATTACAATAATACAATTCGGTACAATCATTTTAACATTCGCTGATTGTCTTTTGTTTGGAGTCTTGGGTTATTGCTTGGGATTCATATTGGTTTTTCTCTAGTGTCAGTTTCCTTTGAATTACTTTTAAAAAATAAATTCTTAGAAATAAAATTAAACGGAGCTTCGAAAAACAAATAGTACAGAAAGGAAGAGATCAACGACAGGAACATTACGAATATATACAGCATCCACTGTGAATGAAGAAACAAAAGTATTATTAATAATTATTGCCTTAAAGTAATATTTAAAAAATAAATTATATGAAACTAAATTTACTATCGTATTTTAGTTATATCTGACATAATATAAATACTAATTATAAGTTTTAGAGTTGATGTAAGTAACGAATACGGAATGGTTATATAATAGAAACGTAGGTATTTCCAGTTCATTGCGAAAAGAAATATTGAGCAATTTTTTATTACTATGCGTACTGGTTACGATTTACATACGTTATCAATTAGTACACATACAGTTCTCTCTGTTCTCTGCATTGTACATGATAAAATATATACCAATTACTTTGTTACTTTGGAAAAACATTTTAATTCCAAATTAAATGCTACAGCTTATATTGGTTCCGCCCTAAATAGTAGTAAGTACTTAATAAACTTCGTGTATGAAAATAATTTCAAGACAGAAATTTCCTTAAATGCGGAGCTAACATACAAGTCATGTGTATAGACTATCACTAGGATCAAGCAATATCAGCCCTATGACTGTTCGTTAAAACTCCGAAAATTGTAATCAATGTTCTGCAACGTTTTTATTTCAGAAATTTGTTAGTAAACGTACATAATATTCATATTAAAAGTAATTTGCCCAAGAAAATAAATACACGGAATTCTAGTTAATTCAAACTCGAATAGTTCGAAATTACGTTAGTTCGCAACTATACTTTTGTCACGGATATAGAGATTTATACGTTAAGGAATTCTGTTCCGTTCGATCTCTCATATGCGTACGTTAAATCGTTCATTTACATCGAAATGCCTCTATACTATAAGAGATGAATAGACCAAGAGAAATTTCAAATTATGAATATGGCATTGTTTTTACAGTAACGCATTTTCGGATGTCACCTTACCCATGGACTACTCTTTTCTTTTCTTATCTCATAAAATACGACCAGTTTAAAAATAATTTGCGCTAGGTATCGAGAAATTTTGCTGTACATTTTATAAAACCTATCTGGAAAGCAAAGAGATTCTAAATGGATACATGCTGTTTACTTGCAATTTATTTATATTATTAATAATTACTAATTAACAAAAGTAGCATTTTGTATAATTATATATCCGTATTCCGTTTTATTAATAAATTACATCGTGTTATTTGGCATATTGTAGAGAAATACGTAAATCTCGAATAATTCGAAGTCATGATTATTTCGCCTTTTGAATTTCGCTGTATTAATGAGGATTTCGTGTATTGAAGTTAAATTTTTTTTTTTGAAAAAGAGAAACGCCATTCGCAAGACAGTACGTATACCAAATATTTGTTTAACATTAGCTAAATACTACATAAAGCTGTGAATATTTTGTTTTATAATTTATAGGCAATCTGTACAGTCTTTTTAACACTGTACAGATTGTCAAGTGTTAACTCATTTACAGTTAACACTTGCAAATGCAATAGAAGTAATTTTTTAAATAATGTAAAACTACCAATACGCATGGTAATATGAAATGTTCGTTAAATCGAGATTAACATGGTTTTATTTTTACCGAATTAACGAATTCTTCATTACTATCATAAGGTTACTTAGGGAACATAATGTACACAAATTCGTTTCAACAAATTTTTGCTATAATTGTATAACGTCTTATGTAAACCATTGCTATTTAAGAAAAAGATCTTTCTTTATGTTCTATTTTCGATTTCTGCTTCTGCGGGTGAGTGTATTGTACTGGAAAGAGTGTGAACTCTGTTTGTAGGTTTTCATATACCATTAAACACTTATTTTTCTAACATATGTGATATGTTTAATTATGCTATCAATGAGTTAACTTTTCCTTCCAAATTTACTACATTTATAAAAAAAACTTCACCAAAATAAAGATAAATTTTATGAACTTTTTAAAAGATGTCTGTGTATTCTTTATGGTTATTCAAACGTTATATGTTAATTAATAATACATATTTATGGTGTGAAGTGGGCAGATTAAAACATTGAAACTAACATACAAAGTCTATGAAATTATATTATTAAAGAAAGTTTATATTTTATATAACTTTAAAAAGTTCAAATAAAATTCATTGCTATAATTATTTTATAAATTAATATCTTACCACTGTCATTATCGAAAAATGAAAAGGTTTTCTAGTGCATAAGATGATGTACATGATGATAAATGGATGCAATATATAAATAGCAACATTCAGACGATTCAAAAGCACAAAAATATCTAAAGACAAAAATCTTCTTATTCTACCTGAAACAAAAAATAAGGTATTATGTGGTTATTTTGTAATATATTTCTTCTATCTTTTCGGTTACATGTTCATGTTATGAGTAGCTTAAGAAGAACCAACATTAGGATTGTATAATTAAATCTGTACATTTCTGTACCATTATGAACATAGCCATTAGTTCGCCAGAAACATTGTTAACTCTTTTCAAATATATAAATCATTTTTACACTTAATTGGTTTTTCTTAATATGTTTATTATCGAAAATAAAGAAAGCCCCTAGCATTGACTACGTTAATAATAGTCATTGTGCCTACCACTGGCACAATGACGAAAGCCATTGTAATTATTTGTTCAAGTTAGGCCCTTATATATTGTCCTTATATGTAAAGAACTTGTACATT